TCCATGCCCTTAGAACACGCAAACAACAATCACAACGCCTTGCCAGGGCTATTTCTGTAGCCTTTCACTCAAAGACTCCGGAGGTGACGGACCTGAAGGGCCAGGCAGGCGCCGGAGCCCCTCTCAGTGATGGTGGCAGGTGGCTGACGGGGCCGTCCCTCCAAGGACACTGCAGGGCGCTGGGGACGCGACCCGCTGTGCGCCGCAGTGTCCTGCACAGACCCGCCTCGCCCAGAGAGTGCCAACACCGCACAGCACCACGGCACGGGCCTGCACGGAGGGGCTGTGCGAGAAACATCATGTGGTCGTTTTTTAGTTACACTCTGTTTCAGGTACAAGGAAATCTGAGAGAAGCTTGGGTTTTAGTTTGAATAGCGACAAGTAAGGAATAGAGAGCAACATCTCTTGAGTCATCAGCACAGTGAGCAGCTGAACTGTGGGAGAGGTTACCCAGAGAAAAGAGGGAAAAGGAGAGGACCAAGAACAGGCAGTACAAGGACTGGAGGATACTGAGGAAAATCATCTGAAAGACAAATTACAGGAAGGAGCATGGGAGAGAAATGAGAAATTTAAAGGGAAGTATATTTCTTCCTTACTACTTCTCATCCTGCATCTATGGCTTACACAGGCTAGGGAAGCACACTCCATGGCTTCTTGCATTTGCCATCCTACATAAACTAAGTCCTCTCACAGCATTCTTCAAGTGTCTCACAGCGACAACCAACTAGGGAGTAAAAATGAGCCAAAGAAAATTAGCACCAAATAAATTTTCAGAAATCTAAGAAATGTGAAAAGATCCCCTATTGAAATACGTCCCTGGCATCCCTCTACAGGCCAACCAAGGGAGAATGGCACAAGTCCTTCCGAAAGGGTGGAGGGGGGAGGACACTAGATGGGAACACCTCCTGCTGCTCAGGTATGAACCTTCTCATCAGTGGCACGACATTCCCCACATGCAGGTGAGCTTGCCTGCCAGGCCTTCTCTAGCCCGCAGGTGACCATAAACCAGGGCAATTACTATCTCCAGTTCTGTATTTACTCTCTATTTTCTGGAGACGTGCCCGATGCTAACCTGAAACCAGGGAATGAAAAGGCCCCTGGTGACCACACGTACACGGCCAGGGCTTCGCTCTGTCCCCTCAGCAGCGTCTGTGCCCACGCTCAGGTGCCACTTGTCCTCGACACGCCGCTGCACCTTGTGGTCGGTCCTGCATGCCTGAGCAAGCTGCCAGAAAGCTGGCTTTGTCTGCTCTATCGATATCCTTAAAACTACTGGAGAAAAATGTTCTGGGGTTACCTTGAATCACTCAGGTGACAACAGATTTATTCTGCTTGATCCGGTATCTCTCCATGATGGTGTATCTGGACACCTAAGCAGTGCACACACTTGCAATAAATGGGACTTTAGTGCAAGAGGGAACTTCCAGATGCATGTGTGTAGCTCCTGTATTTCAGCCATGTCTCTTTAACGCTGTGAAAAAAAATCACACATTCTAAAGGAAACACTACAAATTCAGTTATCTTTAGTAGATTTGTAGATTTAGATGTTGGCAAGATAGTAAAAGTGCAACTATGCATATAATTTTCTAATATGTATGGAAAGATATATTGAAGTGATCTCAGAGGTTTGCATATTGCTGGGCCTTTTCAACTGCTTTTAACCACTGTTCACTTTGAGGTTTTAGCCCCTTCAGTAGCACACTGTCACGGTGTGAGGTAACACTTCTGTACATAACGGTCTCTACGCAGCAGCAGGCTCAAAGTGTTCTCCTCTCAGGGCTTTGAAGTGAGATTCCTTGAAGCCAGATCCCTAGTGAGGAAACACGAGACCTGTCAGGTAAACACTGAGAAGGGGGAGACACGACGCAAGAGCATCCCACCTCACAGCTCTCAATCCAGTGAGTAAATCTTGCTGCTGCACACTAGTAGTACTGCAGCCACCAGGGCTGTCTCTAGGAGTAAAGACTGTTTCTACAGGGACTGAATGTCTTTACAATCTGTTTGTTTTATAAAACATAGCGTACAATGTACAGGAATATACAGACATGGGTATTGTAATTCTTATAGGAGCTGATGCTGGAGTCTAGAAAAACAGAATTTATTCTGCTCCAAGACATCTAAATCTGAAAAATTCATTAAGAGAAAGGAACATAACACTCAAACACTTATCCTGGAAGTCAATATAGTGACACATACCAGGAAGTGAAATCATGCTGCAGAATCTATGCATCAACCCCAAACCTATAAAGGTAAAATAACGTATAAGTAACATTTATTATTTGTTATGAAATGAATGTCATTTGAAACTGCAAGATATATTTTCTACCAAGATTAGTACAGAAAATTTACATTTCAGCACCTGTTTCTTTTTCTTTCAAGAAGCACAATCCTTTGAGGCATTTGGGATTCTTAGGCCTGGCCCCGCGTGTCACAGATTTATTTTTCTGTAACTCTGTTAATGTAATGTTATTCCCAGTGTACATGAGTGCCACCAAAAGGAACTCTGACCCACTGCTTACCGAAGACGATCTCAAAAATTATTTCCCAGTTTCTTGTTTTCTATCCTTTGCATTATTCAACAACCCATGTCAGGCAGGCCCGGGCGCCGATTCAAGTCACATTTTCCAAGGGATTTTTTCCAGTCAGTAGCTGTGGTGTCTGAGCAGAGATGAGGTCTCTTTCAACTCACCTTCAAATAGGCATTGACAAACACTTTGCCCCCAAATGTCAAGCTGTTGCTGAAATACATTAAAAGGTCAGACAGAGGAAAAACAACAGAGAAGGAAGAAAAATTTTTTCCTTAAAAGCTCCTATAAAAGAACTGTTTTAAAAACTATGTCCAAATGATAAATGAAGACACCTTAACACTTACGTGAATAAACAAACCAGGAGTAAATTTTCTCAAACAGCAAGTTTTCCCGTGCATTGTGCAAGGAGCTGGTATCTACTCAGTAATTACAACTTGGGTTTTCAGACACTTTAAATTGTTTAATGATGTGAGTCAGAGCAGAAAAAGAAAATAATCAGACATTTGCACACAATCAAATTTACAGATTCATTAAATAAAATCTGTTTTATTCAAGCAGCAAGACAACACTCTACAATCAGGTCAAGCTCTGGGTCAGAACTATGCAGAATTTTAATGCCTCCAAATTTGAATCCTTTGGAAATATCTCCATCAGAGATTACCACGTCAGCACGTAATCTTGCTAACAGTCCAACTCACTTCCAGGGAAAACAGAACACCTGAACAAACTAAAGCTGTGACCGACTGCATCCTCCATCACAACTTTGCTACCTTTACCTGGATCAAGTGTGTCTGTTGCCATACGGATATTTTCTGTGTTCCTTCTACAGAACACAAAGAAAAGCAGCATATTCGGAGACAGCAGAATGCGTCTCTGCTCTGTGTATAGGGATACAGATTTATTCAACAGACTTACCACTGATTGTTTCTTCTGCTGTAGTTTCTTGTTAAATCTGAAACGTAACACAGCATCTTAGTGGAACTAAGAGCCTGGAGGCAATCTTACGAGAGCCCTTGTTTTCACCTTGGAAAGGCAGCACACGGAAAGCACAACTTGCAGAGTGATCCATCTCTGTCACAACAACCTGCAGTCTTCGACCCTGATTTTCTTCAGTGCTACATGACTGTCACACCAGCCCGGCCCCACCGATTGCAATGGCAGGCCTGATTGATGGTGGTGAAATGAGAAGGCAAGTCCTCCGCTTGTTTTTGGGCCTCCACACCAACTGCTGAATGCAAACACAGCATTCAGGCCTTTTGCTCTGTCTGTTCATAACCCCTAAAGGAATCCTGAACAGGGTTGTGATTATTTTCCCTTGCATGTTCCTGCTGAGTGGAAAACAGGGTGACTGCAGTCACTAAATGATCATGTTGTCACACATACCACTGGAAATTAAACTATTCCTTAAAGAAGCAGTGTGACTTTTAATCAAACTGCTGAAAGTCCTGAGAGCATATTTCCCTCTGTTTAACTGAAACGAATGACAAGCCCTCAGAAGAAGAGCACTAGCATTCCAAGCATATGCAGCATACCTAATGTAAGACTTGAGGACTCCACTCACTGTTTCTGCCTTGGCTTCTCTGAATTCAACACAAATTCGAATATTCACTGGTTTTAGCTTGACTTTAGACTTAGTTCTAGGTTCCTTATAAATCAGTAGATCGACAGGCTCCTCCTGGGGATGATACAGGTTGGGACCCGGTTTAAGTAACGAGACCACTCTCTTGAGGTCAATGTCTAAGCTCAGCCCCAAAGTGTGACCACCCTGCATAGCTCCCTTCCCCTCTCCTAAGGAGTCACAAATCAGTTGTAACCCCCAGCTCCTGACTCAGAGCTAAAGCATGAGGGTCCATCCAAAGCAGAGTGATGACAGGGTACTGACAGAACACACATAACAGAAAAACCAGCAGTGTTCTTGCTGTGAGCCACTGCGACTCCTGCAACTACCTGCAAGTACACCCGCTCCCGTGGTTGTGTTGAGAAATGTATTAACTTCACATGGGCCTTGAGGAGGAACATGACACTGTGAAACTATTCCCTGCTTAGGGACAACTCAGGCATGAAGAACTATTCAAATTGATCTTGACATCCTAGCTCCTCAAACATTTCAAATGCTGCCTTTATCTGGACTGAGTTGCAAATATTCTGTCAGGTTGGGAAACTTCTTAACTTGGTAAGAGATCATGGAGGCAAAAAAAGGGGACTCCAGAGTAACTGGCATAAAATGAACCAACATTTGTCACATTTGATCAAAGAAATGTCAACCATGAGAACACTCCTACGTTTCACAGTGCTGTATTTACAAAATGTGCATGCTTACATTTCAGACACCCATATTCAAAGGTCTGTACAAATGCCACTTACATATGTATTACATATGAATCATGTATAGAGCAGTAGAAAATTAAAACCTCTTTTAATCCTCTATCTAGTCAGCTAAATGAGCTAGTCTTAGGTTTGGGCTACATTTTCTCAGGTAAATGTTTGGAGTCTGGCACATCAGTAAGAGCACAATTGCAGGTCAGCCAAAACTGTTACAGCTTCCCACCTGTGGAGCTGCTCGTCATTTTCCACAGGCTCCCACAGACAGACACCCAGTGTCAACAAGCAGCCAAAGCTGGTTTTGGGGACTTCATTTAGGATTCCTTCTAGACACATGTGTCCCTCAAATAAGTAAGTATATAAATAACTTGAAATTCACTAATGCAAAGCTGTAAAGCACTTAAGTATTTGATATCCCATCCATATATCATTAAAAGTTTTAATCTATTTAACAGTGTACCCAAGTAAAATTCATTTCTATGTTAGGAAAAACCAGTTGACATTTTAGTTGCTCGGGTAACTTGAGTCAAGAGGAGCAATGTCTGTCAAACCAGTTTAAATGTCTAGATGAAATGCCTTTTAATTGCTGTTACCATCTTCTTCCCGCTTTCTGTATGCTTTATTCAACATTTGTATTTCTTCTTGATAGCCACCTCTTTCCATATGCTGCTTTTTACTGTTCTGCCGGTGAGCTTCCACAGTGTCTGGAATTGATATGTTGATATCGCTGTCAGGATTGTTTGAGGGTATGAAGAGGGAATAGGAGGCAGTTTCCCCTAAATCACATGAGACAAACCTGTTTTCTTTCCGTGAGTAACGTAAGGATGGAGACCTTACCTGCGTGGAGGACTGGCTGATATTACTGATGATTGACACAGTGTCCAGGGCCTCTTCATTGTCACAAATTTCAAGTACCTCTAGGTGAATTTTAACGCTTGTGTCAGCAAAGGTATTAGGAGACTCCTCCGGGTTTGGCTCATGACCAACACTTTTAGATCGATACACTTCAATTTTCTTTGACGTGGGTGTTATCTTTTGCCCTTCAGTGCTTACCTCGTATGTGGATAAAGAGAGCGTTTTCCCCGTGGGCGCCTGAAGAGATACAGTTCCCTGAAAGGCACACAGAGGGATAGCTAAGGCCCCACCTGATCGCTGAAAAGAGAAAGAGTGACCATTATCTAATGCCAGGTTTTCAAGTTAGAATCCAGTATAAATAAGCCAATTATGCTTTGTTAACTTATTTTACTTTTGTAGAGCTTTCCTTACAGTATTTTAGAAACTTGGCATTTATGACTTTTAAGAGTAGAAAAACAAGTTTTATAATTATACACTTCAGTATAAAAAGTGAAGTCCCAAGTGACTGTGACTCAGCCACAGCTTAGGGACACACACACTTTATTAGAGGAGTCGACGCTTAACGTTCCCTTGCAGCCAGCCCACAGGACAGCCAGCAGTAGCAGGCACCTCTCCAGCTCATACCCACAGGCACCTCTGAAAGTTTTTGCTCTGCAAAAACTTTTTTAAGCAGTTTTTGCTCTGCTTAAATCAGATCAAGATAGGGATCTCCTAAAGCTTCTCAGTGACCGAAACGAGAGAAATGACACCAGGGGACTGTTCAAAACCAAGAGCCTGTTCTGACAACGTCTGTCTCCCTTGGGCACCCTGTCTTAATTAGTCTTAATTGAATTAGGGGCCTAAAGTTAGATGGCTTAGCTACCTAGCTGAACTCTCCAAAACAACTTGCCAGATATTATTCAAGGAACTTTTTTGTGCATTTTATTTTTATAGTGGAAATAATGTTCATTCAACGGTATCAGTGGGAAATCTATAATAAGGATTTACAGCACCACTCCCACCTCCCCATCACTCCTCCCCACCTCCCACTGCAAATCACCAGCCCAAACCTCACCCTCCCCTGTCCCTCCTCTATACACACACAGACACATGCACGCAGACCCTCCCTGGTAGCCACAGAGACCCTCCTTAGTAGCATGTAGCTTTCTGGATGATTTGAGAATAAGAAACAGCATTACAGCAATCAATGCGTGAGGTGAAAAAATGACAGAGTTGATTTCTCAGGATGTGTAAGTCTGAGGCATTTCAGGAGTCTGCCTCGCACTCGCGTTCTTCCTGTCCATGCAAGCGAGGGCTAAGCTGAAGAGGGAGGCAGCTGTCTAGGAGAGCAGGATATGCCTCTTCCGTTGTGTTGTGATTAATCTATCTGCAACCAAGAGACAAACTGCAGAAACCCTGGGCCAGTCTTTCCTGGGCAAGTTACAGGGGATGCCCTGAGCTCAGCCTTGGAAGCAGAAGCTCCAGTATTTTCCTCCTGGGTACGGATTTGTCTTGTGCAAACTGTGTGAATAGAGGAGAGGAAGGAAAGGAGGAGTGACAGAAAGACCAGGTCTAATAACTGGCAGTATGGAGAAGTGCTGGCACTATTTCAGCACTGACAGGACCCCTTCCATTGGGACAAGCTCTGTTTAATGTTTCCTTTCTAGTAAAACTCAGAAAGTTGAGTAAAGCCAGAGAGGTTCAGGATACCAATTGGAAAGGTGAGATCGCTCACAGGGAGCTGGGAAGGGCAATTATTTACTGATTATGAAATGAAGCTGTTGTGAGGAGACTCACTGAATTAGGCACAGCTTTATAACCACACAGCTAAATCATAGTGCCACATTACCTCATCTTCACTAAAGCACATGAAAAGGAAATCAGGTTTCATTGTGTAGAAGAATCTTGCCAGACTGTGACTTAATGTGGTCCTTTGACAAAGGAATTTGCCTGACAAAACCCTAGGAGCTGGCTTGCCCTGCTGGAAGGAAATTAAAGTTGTATTGGTCTCCTTAATAGATTTGTCTGAGAAAAATGGTCCTCCAGTGTTCTTCCAAGGTGCAGTTAGAGAGGCAGCCGTCGCGCTGTGTCATCGAGCCAGCTAAGGTGTGAGATGGGTGGATGTGAGCTGCCAGCTCCTGGCCACTGCCCGAGCACAGAGCCATGGCAGGAACGGGGGCTCCCTCGGGTGCTGCTCTCCTAAGGGCAAGCACCGCCAGCCTTTGTTCCAAAGCAATGACCAGGGGGCTGGTTTTTTCAAGCATGGCTAGGTGTTGGCACTTACATTTCCTGTGTTAATTAGTAATTAGGATCACTCCTCCAGGAAAAGAGAGATGTGACTATAACCGTTTTTGCAACTTGAGGAAGCTCTTGTCCACTTGTCCTCCATCCCAGGTGCTTACTAAGGCCACTAAAGGACTGAGCAACAAACCCAGCTCTGGGTAAGACCAAGTGGGCAAAGCCTACAGTTCTGGGCAGCACGGAGGCACAAGGTCAGCGTCTTGGTATTGCAACAGATAGAGCCTGGGTACCTAATGATTTTGGTAACACAGATTTAGAATGGTGTTTCTGTTGGATACAAGTCCTGCAGCTCCACTGCCAGCCCCCTCTCTAGTTTCTGCAATCAACACAAAGTCCTTTGCAGGCTCAGTTAAGAGCATCTGCATTTCTGGCTGTTAATCAAGCTCAGGGTCTTAAGAACAGCCTAGACCAGAACTTAGATTATACAGGAGGACCTCTAAAGACTATGGAAAAAAAAAAAAAAGTTTAATAAGAAGTGATTACTTCAGTGCAAGGTTACATTCTACTTAATAAAACACTGCAGATTTGTCAGACTGAGCATCAAGAAGATGGAGGATATGTCTGAGGCACCTGGAGGGAGAATAAGCAATCCTCACTCACTGGAATGAATACTCCAGTTCTGGAGAATGAGAAATATTCCAGTGACCACAGATTTAATGACTCCTTCTGAAAGTCTGTTTTCTGTCGAGAAACCTCTATTTACCTTTAGAAGTGAAGAGGATATTCCAAGTCTTCTATACCACTTCCCAGTCACTAATCAGGAAGGCAGTAAACTGCACCGTTTTCCACTAGAACAAGTCCAGTAGAAATATCCTTCAGTTACAGACACCTTCACCTGTTTCTACAAGTAGGGAATCCATTTGTCTCTTGGCAAACCGTGCATCGTAACAGCCCGCACCCGTGACGGTGAGAGGCACCTGCCTAGTAACCACAGCCCTTGCAGGGAGCAGCTTTGAAATCGCAGCTTAACCTCCCTCAGTGCAGCAACCGAGCTGCAAGGAAACTCGACTGTTATCTGCAAGCTGTGACAAAGCACACCTGTGTGAACAAACCCATTCATCAGCAGTGCAAAACGCTCAAAGTTTAAAAAAATCCAGCTAATTAATGGAAAAGAGTAAGCAGCATTTACATGACACTACAGAATTTACTAAGCAGAGTTTTTTGAAAATGAAATCAAACCCTGGATTTACATGATAGGGGAAGGCAGGAGTAAAGCCCAAGGAGAGATCTGAGCCACTGAACTGCAAATTCCCTGCCAAGTGCAGAGGGGAACTAGCACTGCCTTGGCTGGCCCAAAGTGCCACAGCCCCAGGAAGACTTCTGTGCTGCACACTGGAGGGAGGCACCACGGCCACCGACGGGGACCCGAGCACCTGCAAGGGCTCTACACAGAAAGGGGCAAGTAACAGAGAACTGCATCTGGCCCCTCAGGTCGGTGGCAGTGCCCAGGGCACTGCAGGCTCCCTCCTGGGTCGCCCGCCTCGAGCTTGCTTTGCAAGCTTCACTCTAGAGTCAAGCAGCCCAACAGAAAAATGCTGTGAATAAAAACTGTTAGTCCAGAAGAGGGAAGAATATCTGGTTTTATGAGTAGCCAGGTAAAAGAGATTATTGCTGGAATTCCTTTCAGTAAAATTGCTATTAATGAGAACAGAGTGCGACCCTTATCTTGTCCTTGATATCATTACTAAATATCCAGTTTTGCCCCGTATGGCACATGCATGGCAATAAACAGGAACCTACTAGCAAACTGGACTATACTGGTATATCTTGTGAAGTATTTTATCTTCCACTCCCATTGTTACCTACAGTTCAGCTTTACGATTTTAAGCCTTACAATGCAATTTAATTCCAAGGCAGCAGGAAGAGGAAACAATTTGAGTAATGCTTAACAGTGGCCTTCAGTTCATTCATCCAGGTTCCTGTACCTCATCTCTGCGTTATTTCAGCATGAACAAGAGCATCCACAGTTGTAGAAGGGTTATGATTCATTTTTCCTTCCATGAAAAGAGAAAGAGGTCCACTGTGCTGCTTCTGAACATCTGCCACCTCACTCTCCACAGCCTGGGCCCAAAATGCTTTCTGGAAGGGTACTGCCCCACCGGGCTCTTCCCACACTCTTTTGCCCACACGCTTTGTATTCCTGTACTCAAAAGAAAATCTAGTTTCTAAAGGAAATAAGCAAATTAACTCCACCCACACAATTTATACTACATGTTCTCTTGTTAAAACACTTCTACACAGATGTTTTTAAGAAGGTACAGAACACTTACAGCCACTTGCTTCTTGGATCGTTTTCAGAAAGACAACGTTTTGATGCTACCTTGACAATGTGTGCAGGAATCAGGTGCTACCATAAAGGTAAAGAGCTTTGTGAAAGAAAATAAACCCTTATCTTTTCAACCCAAGTGCCGTTTTGCAGCTTTTGTGTCTCAGCAGTTTGGCAGCGTATTAGATACACATATATAATTATCATTATCCCTAAAAAATACGTAGATTTTTTCTACACCTCCAGTGTGGTGTTTGCTTTATCAGAATGAGTTATACCAGGATTTGTAGTACTACCACAAAGACACCCCACAGCTGACGTGCGCTCCTCCTGACTCCCATGCATCCCACACCACTTTGGCATCCATGGCAACTGCACAGGATGAGGAAGCCTTGCTATCAACAATTCTGAGCCTGTGAAGACTTGTCTTTCCGAGACCTTACTCACTCTCAACTAGGAGAGGTGAAGGAAAGATCAGACACTTATCTGCTTGAACACAGCACATGTAAAATTAAGTCTGTTCTGATTCTTATATCCACTTACAGATACTTTTCTCTGCGTGCACACACGCACAGATACACACAACTATTCATTTATTCACTGTACACGCGCATATAGTTATAGAAAATATTTCCCTTTTTACAATTAATTTCTTAATTTCTGGTAGGATTGAAAGGTTTCAATTTGGAAATGCCCAAACGTTTCAATTAAAAAAAATCATGGCATCCCCCAATCAAAACATTCCATAAGC